GCATGTGCCCAGCTGAAAGCCGCTGAGACTAGCCCCAGGCTGCAAGATCCACGCTGCTGCAGGAGGCCCACATCACACTCTCAAAATTGTGAGCTCAACTCGTGTGTTTCTTTTCATTTTTCCTTCTTGCTCTGGTTGTAAGCCACTTGGTTCTGAAGTGGTTTGCTCTGTAGCAAAAGCTCACGGACACGGATATTTTTCTAAGGGTTCTTCTGGGCTCCAGTACCACTGGTGACATCATGTGTGTTGGGATTTTAGGGGCACTTGTCTGTCTCGCCGGGTGTAATTTGGACCATTTGGGTCAGGAGGTGGGATCTGTTACCAATCATGCCTGTGTCCTCTGGGAGGACAGCATTTGGGGTCTGTGCTCAACCTCGACTCAAATCAGGGCACAGTGCAAATGGCGAGCAATCGCTGTAAAAACATCACCGTCTCAGTGGCTTCGTACCATAGATGTGTACTTCTCTTCCATGTCACAGCCCATCCACACATTTGTATATGTGGTGTCTCATAACATCTGTGACAATCTACAGGGCTGGGTGGGGGCTGGTTCGTGTCTGCGCCAGCTGGCACCTCGCCCTCCCACTGGCCAGCCTACCCTCCATCACACTTTTATACATCTTTGTAGATTCAGGGACCCAGGCTCCTTCTAACCAGCGTCTCCTGAGCCTTCCACTGGGTCCTCTGCACCCAGCCGGCGATAAGGAAAGACAAAGAACGTGGAGAATCTGGTGGGACCTGTTCTAGGGGTCAGGGCTGGAAGTGGTGTCAGTCACTTCCTCTTGCACTCCGTTGGCCAGAACCAGATGCAAGAGGCCTGGGAACATGACCCGCCAATGTGCCAGGGAGGAGGAGCAGATAGACATTGGTGAGTTTCAGAAGTCTGTCCCCGGTAGTGACTCAACAATCAGGTACCTGGGCAAGTTATTAGATTTCTCTGATAGTCAGATAGTGGGTTGTACAATCTACGCAGAAGTGGGCTCGCTCCTGTCTGTGCCTTTCATCCTGGTTTGTGGCCATTCACACCGAGGAACAGAGGCAGTTTGGGCCACATCACCATGCTGACGCTTTTCAGTATCAGGCCCTATTCTGGCATTTCAAGGGCAGTGGGCATGGACCACCCTGGGCGTAGGGAGTAAATGGGTGCTTTATCTCCAGAGACTTTTTAAAAAAGTGATTTGGTTTTTTTAAATTTTATTTTTAATTATAGTTGACATACAATATTATATTAGTTAAAAAAATTTAAATTATAAAACTAACAGAAAATTGGTCTGTTTTCTATCATGCCAGCAATAATAATAAAACACTCTTTCCTAAAAAGAAAGAGAATGCTATCTAAATGCTAGGCAGCTGCTGCATTACTGTTGAGGTTTTAGAATATACATGTAGTTACAACTGGCCCCTAACACACAAGGGCCCAGCCATACACCTGGTGTTAAGAGTGCATCACAAAGGCATCTAGACTTCAGATTTATTTGGGTATATTTTCACACGATCACTCCAGCCACTCTGTTTCACGGTTTTAAACCTTGAAACACAAACAAAACACTAGAAGTGGTCCCACAGAATGACGGAACTGAGTAAGTCCCGTCTCATCATCTTCACTGGCGCTGTTTCCCTTTACTCGGTGGCTGACCTGCAGGGATGTCTACTCCCACAGGTGCTAGAGACACAGTTTGACCTGTGCCGGGCCGTTATGAGCTTACTGGGTGCTCACCAGGTTCACATCCATGTAGAATGCAGTATCTGTTTAAAGGATACCATACATGTCTTAGTCAGCTCAGGCTGCTGTAACAGAACACCACAGTCTGGGCGGCTTAAACAGCAGACATTTGTTTCTCCCAGCTCTGAGGCTGGGCGTCCACGGCGAAGGTGCTGGCCAATCTGGTTCTTGGGAAGGGCTCTCTTCCTGGCTGGCAGGTGGCTGCCTTCTTGCTGTGTCCTCACAGGGTAGAGAGAGGAAGCTCTGGTCTCTTCTCCTCTCTCACAAGGGCACTACGCCCATCGGGGGCCCCACCCTCATGACCTCATCTGAACCTAATCACCCAGAGGCCCCCCCCTCCTCAGACCATCGCACTGGGGTTAGGGTGTCAGCAAGTGAATTTCAGGTGGGACGCAATGAGCAATGAAATCGGGCTGCTCTGAAGGTAATTTGGGGGGAGTTGGAAGAGGATCTGCGTTGGGTTCACAATCGCTAGCGTCGTCACGGGCCCTCCACAGAGCACTGGCGTTTGGCGTCCTCTCCTTGCAGGTGATGCCGGGCTGCCCTTAGATGTATTCGGACCTTCTTAGGGAGCAGGGTGACTGGACAGGCCTCCAGGACTCCAGGTCTCACGTCCAGACAGTGATCATGGCCTGGGCCGACCGTTCACTGGCTAATGGGGCAAAGCCAGTGATTCCAAGTGGGCCAGGCACAGAAGCAGATTACTGGCCAGCGGACGCCTACCCTCCTTGCTGTTACCCAGAGTCTGCTGCTCCAGCTTCCTCTCTCCTTCCCTCCCTCCCTCCTTGCCTCTCTCTCCCTTTCTCTCTCTCTCTCCCTCCCTCTCCCCTCTCCCTTCTCTCTACTCACTGCCTATAAAATAGCTCTGTTCAGTTGTCCTGTTTCATGGAGGAAGTCCAAACCTGGGTGGATCTGTTTTTCCATACATGACTCCTTTCCCAAGCATCCTACCTTCTTCCCTTTTATTTTTGTTTTTTATTTTTGTTACTGGCATCGTTTCTGGCACAGTCTCATTTTCTGAGCTAACTCCTCACTCCCCCAGTCATACCCTGCCCTCCGCTATTGGTCTGCATGTTGTTGCCAAATGCACCTTTGCAAACACCACGTTCAGTATGTCTCTGCTCCCCCAAGAACCCACCATTGTTTTCTGCTGCATCTAATGCATCAAAACCACCTCCCCTGAGGCCCGAGGAGGCTGCAGCCAATGACAAAAAGACTAAAAACATTTTCAATGAAACATGTCAACATTCAACTGGACATGTTTCTCTAGATCTACATCGAAGTCTGATTCTTCAGGATAGAGCATGAGTAGGGCAGAGGAGACACCATCACCCCCATACACAAGAAGGAGGGCTGACCAGTGTGGGGTTCAACACATAATTCTTGAACAGAGAAAAAAACCTTATGGGTCGTATGTGAAACAGAACTCCCTCCAATAGTATGCTTTGCCCATATTCATTGATTGATGCTGCCTTAGTCATCTCTAGCTAATAAATACCCTAAAACTTAGTGGCTTAAAACAACCATTTTATTATCTCTCACATAACTGTTGGTTGGCTGGGCTCAGCGGGGCAGTTCTTTGATGGTCTCTCTTGGGTTCTTCGCAGTTGTAATTAGGTGGAGGCTTGGCTGGGATGCCGGACAGCTGGGCATCTTTCTCTCTTTATGTGGTCTCACCTCTCCCTGTCCATGTCATCTTTCAATGTAGTCTTTTCAGAAGGGGAGCTAGACTTCTTACTTGGAGGCTCCAGTTTTCCAAAAATGCAAAAGCGGAAGCTGCCAGGCCTATGAAGCTTAGGCCCGAACTGGCACGGTGTCAGCTCCGCCATCTTCTGTTGGTTAAATTGAGCTTCAGTGAGGGAGGGGCCTCTGCAAGGTGTGAATGGGGGCATGTGGGTCAGTCCCCATCCCTGGCTCTCAGTGCTTCATGTCCTTCATACACTCACCCCTGCAAATCTCATCCCAATATGGCATCAAAGGCTGGGACATCATCCCCTAAGTCAGGTGCTGGGATGGAAGGGCCACCTTGAGGACAGTGCCCCATATGCCACTTGCCCAGGTGCAGAGACCAGTGAAGAAGGACAGTTAATGGTGAAAGAGACAGGAAACCTGCACTCGACTCCCCTGTGCAAAGTGAGGGGACAAGGGGGCCAGGAGTGGTTGCTGAGCTACAGCAGTTGGCGCTTGTCCCAACTCGCCTGAATCGAGGCTGAGGAGGTTTCCTGATTAAGGCGGAATTTTGCTTCAGGAATGGTTTCTCCCCCAGCTCTTGGTTCCATGCTCTGGCTCTGAGTCCTTCTTCCTTTTCCCTAAGAATGGCCCTGTTTAGAGCTGCAAAGCTCTAAGCCCGTTCCCCACCTCACTGTGAGCTGAGGGTCCAGAGTGAGGGAAACTAAGGTGGGTGGCTCGTCTACAAAACAACCTGAACCAGGAGACCACAGCCCAGTTCACATCCTCCTGCAGCTCCCTCCCTCGCTGATCTGGGCTGGCCTGGGACCTGCTTGCATCAGTGGGCCACGGTCGCGGGACACTGTGCCAGCCCCAGGCCGAAGGCTTAACAAGCCCTGGCAGCTTCTGGCTCTGTACTTTTGGGGTCCTGAGCTACCAGGTGAGATGGCTGGCTGCATTGCAACGAAGGCCCCACAGGGGGGCCACATGGAGGAGAGGCCTCGCCAGCTCAGCTTCCTCCTGGAGGCTTCGGAAAACTGGAAGCCAAGTGGCCATGGGACTGTCAGTGCATGAGAGACAGTGAGTGAGACTACCAGCGGGACTGCCCACCGAGCCCTGGCAACCTATGCAACTGTGACAGGTGAGAGAACTGGTGCTGTTTAAGCCATTAAATTGGGGTGCTGCAATGGGTAACCAAATCACTGTATCCACTCACTGAAGGTTAACTGTCCATCTGTGCCGGACACCATGTTAGGCGAAGTGGTGGCCAAACCAAAGAAAGCACTGCTTCGGAACTCTACCTCATTTCTGTACGTCTGTGAATGAAAACTCTTCGGAAATAGAAATAGTTGAATTTTATATTTCAAAGGTGAAAGATTTCTGTTGGAAACATACTTGCAGGGAATTGTTCTGTAAAAATGGAAAATTACTTCTGAGACTTTTCATGTTCTCAAGTTAAGAGTTTTTAAATAGTGAAGCACACCTGAGCTTTTAATAATATAACTTAAATCAATGTATTGTTTTGAGCACTTGCTGTGTGCTTCCTCTGTGTGTGTTTAAGATCTGTGTTGAGCCTCTGCTTTCTGCCTGATGTCTCTCAGCTCGCATGGGCTCGCCGTCCTAAGTTACTTGGGGATCCTGTTTTTGTCTATTCGCATGGATTCTTGTTACTGTTATGCCTCCCCAGGCTGTTTCCTTACTGCTTTGGCAGGAATTACGTTCAGCAATTCCGTTTCTAAATGACCTGATTAGCAGCACGTTTCCCCATTCTTTCTCCAGGAGTCTCTCCGTTTCCAGTTGGACCCCCTCCCCATCCCTCTCTCATCCTGTCTGACTTCCTCCACACCCTGCTGCTGACTTCACGGCCCACTGTTGTCCCTCCTTGGATGTCTGCCCAGGCAGGAGGCCCCCTTTCCTTAATTACTGGGAAAAACAGTCTCCTCTTGGTCTTTCCTTCCTAGACTCCGCTGCTATGAGTTTCCAGCTTCTTAGCTCTTGTGTGTCTTTGTCTTTCACAGACATAAAGGACCATAAAGCAGAGAGGGGCCTGGAAAACCTGGAATTTCATGGATGAGCAAACTCTGGCCAGAGAGCCAAGTGACAGGGCCAGGGCCAGAATCTGTATCTCCACGCTACGCAATCCCGGCTTCGCCGATATAATCGGACACTATTGAACCCCATCAAACTAATGCAAATGGATTAATTGATGATGGCTCACTCAGCTCTACTTACAATTAATGGTTTTTAATTACATCTCTATTCTCAGTCTTGGGCTAAAACTGGGGAGAAAAAGAAAAAAAAGAAGTACAGTGGATTCAAAGTACAGCACTAGTTCGGAATAATTTTTAGGGCTCAGGATTTTGATAAGTGCTCTTGAACCTCTCATTCACTGAGTATCTGCTATGTGCACACGTGTCTCTGTGTGTGTGCATGCACTCACATTTTCCCTAGATCCTCTTTTAAGGGGACACTGTGAAATAGTATACAATATCCCCAGAACTATCTTTATAATTTTATAGTACAATGACAAGTGTCATGCCGATAGCAATGTACCACAGATTTGTTGCTTTCTTTAGGAAAAGGGACTCTGTGAATCCAAGCCCCCCAGGGACAGGACCCTTGTCTCCTAAGAACTCTGTAACTAATGGTCAGGGGCAAAGGTCCTCACTCACTGACCTTGCGAAGGGGTCAAACAACCCACCCAATGATTTGCCTGGTCAGCCTCCACTTGATGTCACTGAGAAAATCAAAGTCCATTCTTAGAGCAAATGAGTGGGGAACCAGTGCAGCTTTCACAGAGATCCAAATAAGGGATTCTCTTGCTTTTATTAGTTCAAAGTATATTAATTACTTTAGAAATTAAAATGCAGCATTGGCACTGCCACCTGATGAACGTGATAGGCGCCTGTCCCTCCACGGGTCATGCTGACACAAATCTACACACGGCACCTCGAACCCTCTTTCCCCAAACCTACCAACAAGTGTCTCAAACTGTTCGGTTCCAGATCCTCAATAGTCTCCTAAACTTCCGGTCTAATAGCCTGTTCTCATTTCTTGTCTTATTTCATTTGCTTATCTGTCAGATATGTATACAGTGCCTTCTAAGTGTCAGATATGCTTTAAACACTAAAGACATGACAGTGAATCACACAGACATGGTTTATTTTCTCGTGGAGCCCACCTTCTGTGAAGGCTAGAGGGGAACAGTCATGTAAACAAACAGTGATGGCCATTATGGAGAAAGTCACATGGGGACATGTTACAACAGTGAGAGGAAAGGTGGTACTGCAGAGTCGCTTGGGTTGAGAACTGACTGGTGAGAGGCAGACCACGACACAAAGACATGAGGACGAAGGAAATAACAGTCCGGGGAAACGTCTGGAGCAGAAGCCCAGAGACATGCATGAATGGACTTGAAGTGACCAAGGATCTGAAAGAAAGCTGGCTGGACTCTCTCCCCTGACTTCTCTCCGGCACAAGGCACGGTTTCCAGCCTTTGTCTTCACAGCCCTCGCCTGGGACCAGGTACGTGCATCTTTGGCTGGCTCTCTCCAAGGTCCTGAAGAATGAGTGTGGTGTTTTGTTGGGTTCTTTCCCCTTAGAATGTATCCACTTTTAGAGACTCATCCACTACCTCAATGTGGTACTCACCTGAGTACACTTACTAAGCTATGAATTCAGGTATATTTTATATGCATAGAAATGGCAAGAAGACTCACTGCATTTATAGCTTTCTTCTTTCTGGAACCCAGAAACAGTTTGCAGAGGTCCAGGAAGATAATGTCCTGAACTAAAGTCGTGACTGCGGGAGAATCATGGGTACCTGCCGGCCTGCCGGACGTGTGTGTGGATATGGAGGTATGTGATGGGGCTGAAGGTCATTACATGTGGATATGTAAAATGGGGGTGAGCATGACTCTGAAGTGTCAGATTTGAATCAGCGGGGAGGTGGTGGTGGAATTCACCAGATTCAGCAAACAGGAGGAAAGGTTTCGATCGGGTCCAGAGAAGGGTGGGCAGGTGGGTACCGGTGATGGAAGGGAAGATCAGCTGTGCCCACCTACCCACCCTTCCCTGCACCCAAACGAAACCTGCTCCTCCTTCTAGTCCCTGGATCTTGGTGAATGGGGGTTAGAATAAAATGGGGGTTAAGAAGTTCCCCAAATCTTAAGCTGGGACTCCTGCAAGAGAAGATCTCTTTCTGTCACCTCAGATTGGAGCTCCAAGTAAACATGGCCAAATAAGCATAATTACAGTGAGAGTATGGTTCTACAATGCTATTGAATATTATTATGCTTCTACATTTGGATAAAAGAATTTCATATGTTGGTCTAGAAACTTACGCACCAACAGTGGAATCGCTTCTATTAAAGTTGAGGCAAAGTCAGGCTAAAGCTGATTAGTGTCATTTCAAGTTCCCCTCTGTCCAACTCAATAGATTTTATGAGCATGATTATTGGTTTTTGAGAATTGGAGTACAATGGCAGGCATGGCCATCATGACATCCTGGCTAACGTTCACCAATCATTAAACAAAATCTATTGGGCATGGACTATGTGCCAAACATTGTGCTGGGGATGCAAAGATGAAGAAGACATAGCCCTTGGCCCCAAATTATCAACAAGTCACATCTGGGCTGGCCTTTCTTCTTCAAACTAGTGACTCCTTTTCTATAACTGATGGATAATGTCTTTTTAAATGGTCTGTTGTGTATCAACAGTGTGTGGGACCAACTTGTGCTTAGTCTTCTATTTCTAAAGTTACTTGAAAATCACCATCCCACGGAAGAGCCCTATGATGCCAACAGGCTCACTTTAGGTGACAAGACCAGCTCTACTTGTTTTTTGAAGAGTTCCCCATTCAGAAAGTTTCCTTCCTTATTACTGTGAATTCTCTCACCTGGTCCTCTGATAAAGCAGCCCAAGGGCCTATGTTCTGGCATTGATGGAAGGGGTTTATCTTCTCCACCCTGAATGCCTGGTGCTACTTGTTAAAAACAGCAGAGGACTGAAGCTCTCCTTTAAGGCTCCTGGTGGCTCTGCAGCAAGTTTGGCCACTGAGCTAGCCCAGACTCTGTCACTTCCCTCCCTAGTGTGTGTGTGTGTGTGTGTGTGTGTGTGTGTGTGTGTGTGTGTGAGAGAGAGAGAGAGAGAGAGAGAGAGAGAGAGAGAGAATGTGCTTCAATGTCCCTATTCTCACATGGAAATGGTTTCTTAGTTGTCTCACAGGGTTGTTCTGAAAGTAATAAGATAAAATAGGAAGATGAATATGACTGTGCCTAGAAAAAAATGAATTGCGACATTTAAAAATATTTTTAAATAATTTGTGGTATTAAATCAGTATCACTCTGCATTCCCACGAGAGTATAATCTAGTGGTTAAGGCCTTGGGCTCTTTGAGGCGGCTTTTGTTAGCTGTGTGATCTTGTGCAAGTTCCTTAATCTCTTTAAGCCTCACTTTCTTTATCTGTGAGATAAAAGATAGTAACTTTATCTGCTTCATATAGTTGCTGTGAGGGTTGAATCACTTACAGGTAAAGTGCTTACCCTAAAGTCTGGCACACAGGAAGTGATTACTTAATCAGGTACTTGCTTATTCCTGTCACACCAAGACGACCTCCCAGCTCTTTCCAAAGGTACCGGCACAGAGATGCCCGCCTATGTCCTCCCATGACCCACTGAGAACCACATTGGCAAATGGAGAGACATCATGTTCCTAAGAGAACAAGCTGTTGAAGGACCCGGATTTCAGTTCTGATATTTTGGCCACCTGGCCAGGTGACCTTGGCCAGCCTCTGTTTGAAGTGGTCTTAACATTTCTGCGAAAAGCTGACGAAGAAGCTGAGACCCCGACTCAGCGCCCCAGGATGATAAAGGCTCAAGTCTCTTGCACCTTTAAAACCAACCAACCACTCATTTCCGTAACAGATTTTCTCTTTTAGGTCATAGTCAAGCTTCTTACAAGGTTGTCTACATGAATTTCCCCCATGTTTCCACATGCATTCACTTTTTAACAAGGCATGGCGATCTAGCCTTGGCCTCGGTCACTCAATTCCACTTGCTCTGGTTAAAATTACCCCCTCATTAACGTAAACCAACAGCTCTCTTTCAATGTTCCCTTTTTAAAAACTTTTGGGGCCAGCCGAGTGGCATGTTGGTTAAGAGCTGGCTTGGGACGCCAGCTCTGAGCAGCAGGGCCCGGGTTTGGATCCCACATGAAGGTCAGTGACACTGCCCTCTACAGCTAAGATGGTGAACAACAGCTCGACCTGGAGCTGGGCTGCCGTGAGTTGCCGGCGACGGTGTAGGCTGCATTCCCTGCTGCAGTGGGCTGCCATAAGCTAACGTGGGTGGCTGGCCGCCAGCGTGAGCAGCCGGCAGCCGGTGTGAGTTGCCAAGAGCCGCCATGAGTGGCCGTCCAGAGGCCGGAGACCGATCTGCCTCAGCTGGGAAGAGCACAATGATAATACCAACATGGGCCAGTGAAGCAATGTCCTCCACAACTAGACTGAAGAACAAAACAATAGCAACTTGTCTGTTCCCCTCCCCCAATTCCCCAATAAAAAAATCTTAAACAAACAAACAAAAACTTTTGGCCACAAGAGAAAAAGGCAAGTGACCTTCATGCTTGGGAAATACATTTTTGTGTTTGAGTCCAGACAGTGCAATTCTTGATGCCGAAATCCAAACTGCCACACGAAGGGCCTTTGTTCTGCTGAACGCATCCCATAGGCAGGCACAAAACGTGAATTATTCAAGTAATCAGGGAAACTAGGCCTACTCAAGTATCTCCCTGTGACATCAGACACCAGACGTGAAGGCTGATGACAGGAAAAATGACTGGGGCACAGAGCAATCTGCAGCTTTGTCCTGATATGGCGTGACGAGGCTGAAGTATACTCCTGTTGCCATCCATACCTGACGGGGCCTAATACATTTCAGATCACTGTCTAATCATTCTGACCCTGTCCAATCAAAATGTCTTTGTCCCATGTCCCATGCCTTTAAGACCTTCTTCTTTGTTAAGGAGCCTCAGCAAAGATCCAAGCAGGATGTTCAAGGTAGTCATTTGCATGACAACAGGCATTTTCAAGGTTTAATTTGAGGCACAGAGGCAGGTGGGTGCTGGCAGTATTTTTGGTCAGGGTTTTTTTTCCCAAGCCCCCCGAAGTCCCCGCCGCCTTCCAGAGCCGCGTGCGTTTTAACGGGGCGTGAGGGGAAGCTGCTACCCTGAGCTGAGTCAGATCACTGCAGGGAAAGCTGATCATCCTCAGAGGCTGTCAGGATGATTAAGCAGGGCTGCTGTGCGATCCGTCCCAGAGGGCAGCAGCAGCGGGGTGGGATACACACTGGCCTGGGGGTCAGGGCAGCCGCTCTAGTCTGGTTCTGTGCCTCTGGGCAAGTCTGCTCCACTCACTCGGCCTGGAGTTGTCACCAGTAAAAGAAGGGGCTGGCCTCGGTGGGTTCTAACGTCACTGTGTCCAGTCAGTGATTCTGCGGGTCTCCTCTCTCTTGACTCTGCGAGTCTCCTTCTAGTTTCTTGGAGCTGTTTTTACCACTACTCCAAAGCCATTGCCTCTTATCTCTCTGCCTCTTCACTTCCTGTCAGGCTCACCCACTCAGCGATAACCCCAGGAAATATGTATCTCACAGGCAAACCATCTTCTCTGCAGATAGTGTATCTCCTTGCTGTGTTTCACGGCGGGCCGTCACAGGGTCAATTCGCGATCTGTCCACAACAGTCACTCTTCCCCAGGAAGGCTCTTCCGCCTGAGCTCCAGGGTCTTTCCTAAGATGGTTCACTGAGGTTTGCATGCAATGCTGACAGGTGGCGGGGTCTGAAACCAGCTAATTCAGCTAGACCAGGGGTCAGCAAACTGCGGCTCGCAAGCCACATGTGGCTCTTGGGGTACGTTCCATCTCAGAAGTTTGCCGACCCCTGGAAGAGCCAATCCTGTCCCTCACAACAATTTAAAAATTATTTGAAAGTCATACATATATTTTTACACCATTATGTGAATCACCATTATGTGAATAATACCCTTTAAAAATTTTATAAATGAAACTATGATAGTTTTCATTTTCAATTTTACTTCAGAGCCACAGTTCGCGAGCCGCAGTTTGCTGACCGCTGGCGGCTCTTTTGTCTCAACAGTTTGCCGACCCCTGAGTTAGATGACCAGGCCCTGTGTGGAGTGGACTCTATCTCCCCAGGCTTTTGCTCTGCCATTTCTTTCTCTGTTTTCAAACTCTGAGGCTGATGAAACTTTTTACTCATTTTTTTCCTGCCCCAGTTCCTCAAATCCAAGCTGACAGAGGGTTGGGCCCTGGAAGCATTGCTGAGTCACCACGGGTCATGTCAACAAGAAGGGTGCCCTGTCTCTTGGGGCTCGTCAGTCAGCACTGCTATAATGAGTTTTTTTCAGACTCACTAATAGAAATACTGTAAAGTTGCAGAACATCAAGGATAAAGAGAATATCCTAAGAAATTTCCTAATAGGGTTAACAGATAAAATACGGGACACCCAGTTAAATTTGAAATTCATATGAACAATGGATATTTTGGATATATTTTTTTTTAGAATAAGTATGTCCCAAATATTTCCTTGTTTATCTGAATGCAAGTTTACTTGATTATCCTGTATTTTTACTTGCTGATTGTTGCAGCCCTATTCCCCAGAATGAGGTGAGGTCACCCAAACACCCCACCAGGAGCACCGGATGGTAAAAGGGAACTTGAGTGATGATTTAAAAATTCTGTGATATTATGGTTTTCAATCTAGAATCCCAGGCCTACACAACTCATCAATGATGTGTTAAAACATTTTAAGATAAATGAAAATAACATTATAGTTGTTTAAAACGAGAAATTCAAACATTTAAAGACATTCAATGACTTGGGAAAAATGGCTTCTCAGAAAGTTATCCAGCATGTGCTCCAGCAAAACACAAGAGGAATCCCGAAGAAGACGACATGGGGTCTGCGAAAGTGCGGTCGGGGTTCAAAAGGCAGTGAGGGGGCTCCTACGACGGCAGGTGTTCGGCAGAACTCATGTCACAGGAGAGATTCTTTGTCGGCAAGTAACGGAAAACCCAACTCAAACTGATTCCACAAAAACCAAAGGGAGGGCAATCTCCCAAGTTGCCTTGATGGTTCACAGATCAACCAAGACCCAGGCTTCTACCATCTTTCTGCTCCGTCACCCCTGCTTTTGGCTTCACCCCAAAGCTGCTTTCCCCCCTGGTGCTCTGCTCGTTGCCAGAAGCAACCTGAGCAGGTGCATCTTTGCTCAGACCTAACAGGAGAGAGCCTGGCTTCTCCTTCCAGGCAAGTATCTCCTTACGTCTCACTGCCCTGCGTCGGCCCAGAAGCATCTGTAGCACAGTCCCCGATTCTTCCACGAAGCGCCTACGTGCCTGCGCCCTCCTCAGCACTGGGGATAAAGCAGAAAATGAAGCAGACAGAACTCCTGCCTTCCAGAAACTTCCATCCAGGTAAACAGATGATAAATAAGTCTGCAAAATAGCTGTATGCTGTGTGGTGATATGTGCTAGTGTGAGGAATAAACCGAAGAGGGGACAGGAAGTGGTGGAGGGCGGTGGTATTTTAGGAAAGCCCTCCCCGAGAATGTCACTGTTGCCTCGGTCTAATCATGTGCGATGGGATGGGTTTGGGGCACTCGACCATACTGCCCATCCACCTGCAGCACACAGCACGGGTCGAAGCAGGAGGACGGGGGGCCCTGCGAGGGAGGTCTCCTGGGAGAAAAGGGGACTGCGTAGAGTACCGGATGTTATGGAAAAGATTTTAAATCATGTTAGAATCAGGAGCAGAAACATGTAGGCGAAAGTCTGCTCACAGAACACTACGTGGCTCCTCTGCATAACATGTACGGAGCCCAAGTCACGGAAATGCTGTTGTTAGTTTTCAGAGTTTAGAATGAACTGGTAGAGAAATCACAGGAGATTTAATCATAATTACAGAACCAAACGTAAATGATGCCAACCTGAACATTCTAAGATTGGAGTGCTGAAGGAGGGAGAAAGAAGAACCGAAGTCAAAGGCCCGGCGCCCCAGTTCTCCTTGTCCCCCCGGGATGTTAAAGGGACTGACGATATTTGCAGGAATAAGAAATGATGGTGTATGTTTGTTACCTAAAATTGCAAACAATAGAGAAACTAAATATGTGTTGTAACAATCTGAGGTGTTGGGAGGGACAGCTGGGAGGTGACCTGAGGGAGCCAAATCTCATAGTAGGAAGTGGGATGTCCAGAACAGACAAATTCAGAAATAGCACATAAACTCATGCGAGCTGCAGAGCCATAGAAAAACGGCAGTGTTTCTGTTTAACTACAGAATAACATGGTAGAATTAGTGGGTTGACTTTGGGGAGAAAGACTAAGGGTGGAGTGAAAGGCAAAGTATTGTTTTCATTATTAGTTCTTTGAGAAAGTTTGACTTTTGAACTATGTGTGCACATTACTTTGATTTTTAAAAAAAAGGTCTGGGGCTGGCCGAGCGGCGCGTTGGTTAAGAGCTGGCTTGGGACGCCAGAGGGCCCCGGTTCGGATCCCACATATGAGGGCCAGTGACACTGCCCTCTGCAGCAATGATGATGCCAACTTGGGCCAGTGAAGCAACGTCCTCCACAACTAGACTGAAGAACAAAATGACAGCAACTTGTCTGTTCCCCTTCCTCCAATTTCCCAGCGCTGTTCCCATGCCCCAATTCCCCAATTAAAAAAAAATCTTTAAAAAATAAGGTCTGGTCTCCACTCTAGAAAAACTTTTCTGAATTCCTAAAAGTGATGCACGCTCGTTAAGGAAAATATGGAAACTACAGAAAATTTTCCAGGGTCTAAAGGCAACTCATAAAATACTGGTGTATTTTTCTTCTAGTCTTTTTTTAACGGATTATGTTTATACACATTTCCGATTATGTGGAATAAGGATACATCATGATGGATTCCAGTTTATGCATCTGTGAATGTAAACTGATTAGCTGAGACTCCACAGATAATTTGCAACATTTTAAATCTTCCTTAGGATTGAAAACAAGACCAAAATAAACACAATTATTAAAGTCTTTATGTGAAGAGACCTTTGGCATGAAACAGTACCTGCAAAATCGGCCTGTTCATCAAGGGGGCTAGACCCCAGGAAAGTCAAGTCCACTCTGAGGGTGTTCGGGCAGTGAGAGCGATGAACTGCCAGGCCAATTAAATGACAGAGTTGTGTCATTTCTAAAGACAGCTACACAGACACCGTATTTAACTGAGGCATGGTTTTCAGGTCCTGCCTTCTTCACTGGCCTGTCTCCCACTCCCCATCCTTCCCGCAGTGCCCACGCCACGCTCGCCAGTGGGACGTCCCAGAATGCACCAGGCTCCTCCCTGCCTTGGTACTTCCTCCATGCTGTCTTTCTCCTTTGCTTCGAATGTCCTTTTCAAGCCAGATGGCCTAAAAAATGCTACAAATCTACTAAGTCTCAACTCAAAGTCTCGCTCCCCTGTGATACGTAAGTCCTTTGTGGATGTTTTGCTGCCTCTTTCCTTGCGCCACCCTACCCTGTATCTATGCCTTGACTAGCACACCCATGGTGTGGAGCTGAGAGTACGTGTTGTGGGGTCGGGTTGACTGAGCTTGGCTCCCAACTCCTCCTCTAACTAGACATTGGGCAGGTTGCCTAACCATTGCAAGCCTCAGTTTGCTCATCTATAAAATGGCATGAATAATAATACCTTTCTTAGTGGTTATGGGAAGGATTAAAGGAAATAAGACAAGGAAGGCACTTGGCCTAGTCCCTGGACTGACAGGTGCTCAGAAACACCTGCTGTCATTTGTTGTCACTGCTGCTGTAGAGATCAGCCCGCGCGTCCAGCCGCTGAGGTTAGCGACTCTAACTTTTCCCCTTTCATCCTCTGCACCACTATAGAACTTGGTGTTCTATCCTTGAAAGTTTGTAGACCAAATGAGTGAATAAGCGAATGATTTAGAGAGTGAATCAGCTGCCTTTCTTTTACTAATTATAATTTTTAGGGAGAGCAGCTCCAAGGATGGGCCTTGGGTTACACGAAAGGCTAACTAGCACTAAGTCAACGAGCCCGCATTTGTCTTGTTGAAACAAACACCCACTCCCCGAGTACGTTACTGCATGATCGGCCCTGAGAAAGATTCACCTGAGAGGTCGGAGAGGTCTCGCGGCAATGCAGGGCCCTTGCCCCTTTCCTATAAGGCTTCTTAGATATTAGTGCTTCTGGTTTACAGAGATTGAGGACTAATGGGATAATGCATTTTAAGGAGCTGTGAAGGGCTCTTAACCACAATACAAGTGATTGGATCATCAAAGCACTTAAAAAAAATGATCTTCATGCTTTCGCAGTTGTGCAGGGCTGGCTCGTGACCTCAGGGACTGTGGGGACTCAGGGTGATTCTGCTCTGACCAGGAGACTCCCCCGTGTGTGCCTGACCCCAGGACCAAGGCTTCCAATGAGCCACCACCAGCATGAGAGGACTTCTGACTGCCTGCAGGGGAGCTGGGTTCTGCTGGCATTTTCATGTCTGACTCCAAGCCAGACACTCCAGTAGTTACTGGGGAGCATGTCTGTCCTGCTTATCTTCAAAGGCTGCTGGAAGACCCTAGTGAACAGTTTTATCAAGTACAAAGCGATCTACAATTACGAGGGTTTTATTATTATTAAAAACGTCTCATCTTCCACTGCAACATCTAGATAGAGAAATGCTGGGTGTGATACAAAGCTGGAATGAAAGCGGGAGACACACTAAAAAACCTAATTACCAAATATCACACAAATGCCACAGAGAGAGTAGAGTGATCGCTCGAGTAACGAGTGCTAGGGGCCCTACGTTTCAGTCTTTCGGTTATACTGGCACCAACCCCCCTTGCCTATCGGCTTATTTCTGCCTACGAGTAACTATCAAACCACCGAGGCCTAACTGACATGTGAGTCACGTGGGCTCTGCTAATTGTGCGGCTTTTTTATGCAGGAAGCTGGAGCCTTGATTTTTCTCCCTTAATTTCCTCCTGTTTAACTGTGGCTCATAAAACTCTAGTTTCAACTATATCGGCTGAGCATGAGGGCAAGTTTTGCAACTTGAAAAGTGCCGGAGTCAGTTTGGGCATTTCACACAGTGAAGCAGACTTGGGGAAAGTCTTGGGCTTCCATTCCCAGCCCCCCTGGCTTCCTGGCACTGGGTCTCACCTGTTATCATGAAGGGCATACATAGCATCAGTAGTGGCTAAAGGCTTAATCATGTTCTTCCTGACAGCCCGTCAGATGTGGCCCAATTGAACCTCACTCTAGGATGGAGAGGATGACGTCTGCCAGTCTAGTCTTCCCAGCATGCATTTCATCTTTTGGGTACCAGCACCTGATTTTCTTGGGGCGCCTACCCCTCCTCCCAGTTCTCTGCTTCTATTCTCACTGGATGGTGGAGAGCAGGTCTCACATCCCCTGCTCCAGGGCTGGGCTCGCACAATTAGAATTCCAGCGATTGGTTCAGGGATGGGCACATGACCCACGCTGGGCCAATGAGAGGCAACCCTGGGACTTCAGTAAAAACTACGGAAAAAGGCTTCTCTTTCCTCTTGGGGTTTTAGACCCATAAAATTTTAAACCTAGAGTCTCTGGGCTCTTTGCCACCAATAAAAGAGAGCCCAGCCGAGAATGAAAGAAGAAAGACCAACTCCTGTTGGCATTGTTTGACTACGTGGCTTCAGTCATGCCTGAAGATTAGTCGGGTCCTGTACTTTTCTATCAGATGAGCCAGTTTGAAAATATTTTTGTCACTTGTAACGTAGAGTCCTGACCCAAATGATGCTGCTGCAAACGACACCTTTCGGCCTCAGCATGTCATATGTGTACAGCTCCTTAGGAAAAATTAGAGTGAGGCAGAAAGAAAGTCAGTCTGCAGAAAATAAAATTCAAAAGTTCAAAAGCATATACACACATATTTAGACATTGAATTTCCTCCCCTAGAGAAACTGTGCTTGGGTCCACTGGACATTTCTCCTCATGTTGTCAGAGAGGCTGACTGAAATAACTATTATTCATTATTGATTCAATGACGGTGCCTGCCTGCGCTTGGTGACAAGGATGTGTTAGGTGAACAACGCGGCTCTGTTTGTTTCCCTGATGGAGATTATGACCTAATAGATTTTAGCGAATCAAGAACCCAGGACCCAGCAAAGACAGGGGAAATCAGCAATTTCGACAACGACACCCCTTCCTGATGATAGGCATAGGTCCTGCGATTGCCAAGGTGTGCTGACGTCATCACCACAGAATCCTTCTGGCTTTGATGTTCATTTTAGGCTGTGATGACCCTCAGATCTTTTCATTTCCAACCTTGAAAAGTTTTTTAAAAAGGAAATTGAGGCAGCTTGACAGTAAGAAGGTTGTAAATACTGAAAAATGCCACCCATTAATCCCATTACTCTAAAACGATTGGCTTTCTTTGGGGGCTGCTAAGATGGGTGTAGATTTGTGGCACCTTCACTCCAGAGAGCTAAACACTTTATGTGGTCGAATGCATTTGATCTTCCCCAGCCTCTGCTGATTGCATCAGGGGCCAGAGTCATAGCCCCCAATTCACAGAGAAGGCTAGGGGACTTGTCCAAGTTGTCACAGTCAGGGGCTGAGCCGGACAGCGACCCACTCTGGTCCTGTCATCCCCAGCATGCCTGACCCACACCTGGCCGTTGTGCCCAACTTGCCTCGCCACTGCCCAGCTCCAGTCGGGGTCCTTGTCAGCATATGTCATTCCCCCCCGCCCCCCCTTGCCTCGCCACTGCCACGTGCATGCCGCTGCCAGAGGAATCTTGGTAACACACAGCATCGAGTATGTTGCTTCCCTGACCAGAAACTTCATTGGTTCTCTTTTGCCTGCCACGCAAAATCCGAGTTCTTTAGCGAGGTCGGCAGGGCCCTGCCAGATCTGGCCTGCATCTTCCATCCCATGTCTTTCTTTCCATAACTCTCTCTTTCCACTCCTAGACCCGCTGCTCCAGCCCAACCATCCCCCAAACATGCCTTCATGCCCACTATTCCTCCTCCTGGGGTGTCTGCACCTCTGGTTACCACCTGCCCCCAACATTTTCACTTTCTGAGTTCCTTGCAGTTTTTCCAGGCCTCGAGAAAAGGCCTCCTCTTTCACGAAGCTCTGTGAAATCGTTCCTAGCTGGAAGGAAATTCTTCACACTCTCTTTCCTTGTACTTCATTTATTCCTGCTTTTTTTTTCTTTCAAATTTTGTCTGATATTTATTTACACGCCAGCCTGTCTCTCCTGATGGCATGTGATCTCATCAAGACAGGGAACCACTGCTGGCTCTTCTCTGAGACCCCCAGGGTGTGTCGGCTGCTTTGGAAGAGGAGGAGGCAAACATTTGCTAAATGGATGAGTGGGTTCTGCCTGAAAACGGGGCTGAACACTCCACGTTTTCTC